AGCGCACTAAAATCGAGAAAAGTTTATTTCAAAAGTTGCCGGTTTTTTTGCAATAACAACACTTTGCAATTGAAAAATGAAAAATTTTTTGATAATGGTACCAATGGGGAGTCAGAACCTACCAGATGCAAAAGGTTTCGTTCCGATCGGTGCATCCAGCTAGGCGTAATAGGCGGGCACACATAGAAAATAAAAATAATAATAATAAAAAAAAAAAAAAAAAAAAAAAAAAAAAAAAAAAAAAAAAAAAAAAAAAAAAAAAAAAAAAAAAAAAAAAAAAAAAAAAAAAAAAAAAAAAAAAAAAAAAAAAAAAAAAAAAAAAAAAAAAAAAAAAAAAAAAAAAAAAAAAAAAAAAAAAAAAAAAAAAAAAAAAAAAAAAAAAAAAAAAAAAAAAAAAAAAAAAAAAAAAAAAAAAAAAAAAAAAAAAAAAAAAAAAAAAAAAAAAAAAAAAAAAAAAAAAAAAAAAAAAAAAAAAAAAAAAAAAAAAAAAAAAAAAAAAAAAAAAAAAAAAAAAAAAAAAAAAAAAAAAAAAAAAAAAAAAAAAAAAAAAAAAAAAAAAAAAAAAAAAAAAAAAAAAAAAAAAAATATACTGATCGAATTGAGTAACCTCCTCCTTTTTCGAAGTCGGTTAAAAATCTGCCGATCGCACGCTCTTGTTCTCAAACGACTATTCTAGAATTTTACGATCATTTTCTTCGCCTACAACGATCAACTCGTTTTCACTTTTTTTCATTTTTCAGCTATTTATCATAATGTCAACGACGATAATAAAACAATCGCATCACAACTAAACATAAAAACATATGGTGTGAAAACTTTCAATTTGCAACAATTGCGCGTTATATTGCGTTTGATTGGCCAATTGGCTATTAGACAAAAAGTAATCGATCCCCGTTTGATGAAAGTACCGTTTACAACATATCAAACGGTTTTGAAAGTGAAATTATGCACAGTCGCTCGTCAACGTAATATATCGAAACCGAAGGCAACGCGATAATCGAACTCGATGTCGAAACTCATAAATTGGACTGTTTATACGGCTGATACGTTGCGCACCAGATGCGACTGATTGAATGAAATCAAGGACAGACGAATGCTGTGTAGGTCAGTTAATCGTTAGTCATCGAGACGCCACGGAAGAAGTAAACAGATTAACGAATTCTTGAAGACGCAGTTGCTCCGCGAAATGCGATGTCTATTAAGAATACAACCGCAAAACACGCCAAGAATAGGCCGAAATTAGCTAAAGATAGATCACACACGTCCGATCTACCAATACTCGGCTACCAATCAACCGCTGTGCTTTAAATGGATTCTTAAACCTCGCGAAAACTATGCTATCATAGTGCGTAACGATCGTACACGCGTCGTAACAGAAATTCGAAAGAAATCATGAAAAATTACTCACAAGAGTAGAATGCAGTCATCAACAGAGCAAGCCAGGACAGCTGTTTCTCCACAAAATTTCTCATTTCTAGAGTCCTCAGTTTCGGTCACAGGTTCAGCACAAAGTGACAAAACTCCGATATTAATTTCGCGCACCAGTAATCGAGCGTTCCTCGAACACCGTTGCGAAGCAAGAGTCGCGTTTCCTTAATAAAAGGAACGTGGAAGAGAGCAAAGAAACACGTCACACTCGGTATGGCAAACGTTTGTGCGTACGTACGAGAGTGAAACGATGTACTCCGTACGACACAGTCCTCCGTCCGCGACCGGTTGAGCACAACTGACTCATGGGAATGCTTTTTGGCGGCACGAAGCTTTAAAGGCGTGCGACGAATGCGCATGCGCGGATCGCTCACGCCACTGGACTTGTTTGGTGGGGACACGGTCACTGCTTCTTTCTCTTTCGCTATGGCGCTGACGTTCTCTCTGTTACGCACTGTTCTCTGCCGAACTACGCTGGCGCCGTTATCATTACAGCTTTCGTTCGAGAGGTATGCGCGAGATCATTAATTGAAAGCCTTCGCGGAACAGCGACAGTAAGACCTTCTGTTACCTCCGCGAATGGAATTTAATTAAGAACAGAGTTTCATTGTTAATGGACAATAGTTGACAGGTAATTAGCGGATTTAGACGGAATACTGACACGCTTGGTTATTTGACTGGCGTAGCGGCCGTCCCTCATCAACTGCTGATACAATACGTCACATGGAATATTGTGTCGACGAAAATCGGCCATGTTCGAGATCCATTTATGCTTTCCTTCGTTTTGCGTAGAACTGATGATTTATCGATGGTTAATCTACCTATGGCGTCGTTGATGATGATTTTTTTTTATTCCTATAAGATCCCGGGTAATAAATACGACAATAATGCGCTCAAAATAGTCTTTAGAAAAAAACAAAGTTTTTAGTGAAAACAAAGAATAAGATCATAGTACGTAGTAAGTAGAAATATGAAAATATACAACAAAAAATATAATTTTATTTTAATTTTAAGTTATTTTTATGTGAACTTGTAGACATACGTAATATAAAATGAAGACAAAATTGGAAAATAAATGTATTCGATAGTAAATCACATTATACTGAATCAACGTTAATTTTGGTGGAGTTAAACAGGGTTTTATTGTTAATATTACGGATTCATATAGGAATGAAGACAGAAATGTGTTATTTGCAAATTTGATTTGATTCTTTCAAACTTCAAAACTTACAATTTTTTTAATTTCTAAGTTTGAAGTATTTAAAACATAAAAATTCGCATTTCGAAAATTTCCTTTATATTTGTAAACTTGAAAGCTTGCAAATTTTTTAAATTATAGTTTTCTAAGTTTCTGAATTTAAAAATTTGGTTATTTAATTATTTAACAATTCAAAAATTTCTAAATTTGTATAACTGATTATTTAGAGGTTTCTAAATTTGTATATTTGTATATCTTCATATTTTTAATGTTGCAAATTTATTAACTTAAAAACTTGACAATTTTGAAATTTTGAAAATTGGAAATTTGAAAGTTCAAAATTTTCTACAATATTACATTTGCAAATTTAACACTAGTTAATTTAAAAATATCCAAATTTGTACAATTGCAAATTTTCAGACTTTTTAATTTGTAAATTTGAAAATTACAAGTTTTCGGATTTGGAGGTACGATTATTTTTAGCTCGAAAAAGTCCATATTTTTTAATTCCTAAATTCGTAATTATAAAATTTGGAAAATTTTAACGAAGTTAAAAAATTTTACAATTCTGAATTTGAAAATTTTTTAATTTTATCAATTTAAGAAATTGCAAACCTTGCGTATTTGTAAATTTTTAATTTTAAAAATTCCTTTGAAATTTGATAATTTAACAATTTGAAAACTTAATTTACAAATTAAAAAAATTTAGGTTTTCGTATTTATACATTTAATCGTTTGTAAACTTGAATATTTCCGAAGCGTCACGTGAAGCGGTGCGCGAACCTGCGCCCAAAAAGCAAACGTCGGATTACGAGACAAGACTCTAAGCCTCTTCGATAATGACATCATTGTAGCAATGTTTTACATTCTAGAATATATCTAATTGCAGCGCAAAATTAATTATGAAATGAATTTGTGTCAATTATGAATGTGAATCTATTAAAGATTACTTAATAAATATACTGAAAAAAGAAGGCGTGCAAATTTGAAACGGAAAATATTTTTTTTTACAGTAAAGTATCGGTTTTTGATTTCTTTAACTATGATGCACCTTACCGAACAATCTGAAAAAAGCAGACAATATTAGTTATACCAACATGTTATTGCCATAATAACATAAAAGTAGTGTCCAACATCTGCAAAACAGTAGAATTTTTCCGATTTTTCATTTTTTACAACTATAGTGTGCGATCGAAATAACATTTGCTATTTGGACCTGAATTTTTTAGTATGTTTGTGTGTCATTAAATAGAAAAAATAGATTCAAAATTTCGATTTTTATTGTTCCTTTTTACTACCCCTCACCACCTCCTCTGTCGAGTTTTTTTGAATATACTATCAAATAACGTATTAGGTGTGTGATCCGGCTCAAGGACCTTTCTACCTATTTTGTTCAACAAGAATAAGACTTTTTGAAGATTTAATCATTTCGAATTTTAAAATTTCTAAATGTTTTAACATTCAAATTAAAAATTTTAATTTTAATCATTTCTAAATTTTTTTAATTTTCAGATTTGAAAATTTCAATACTTCTAAATTCTTAGAAAAAACTTCTTTTTTCCAAATTTCTAAATTTGAAGCTTTATTACATATATCGTTAAATACCAATAAATCGTCGACAAAATATCGAATAATAATTGAAATTCTTACTTCTTATTCAGTTAAACGAATATTAATTATGTCACAGAGATGTGATTTTATTACTATTGAAAACTTTTTATTGGCGCATGCTTTTGATATATTTTTCATACATTTTATTATTATGTATCATGCTTATTTGTTTTTGTGCATGCTTGTTACCTGGAATATTTATAATATTCATAAATATTTGTTCGTTGAATTCCGTATTTCTAACTTCATGCAATTTCAGTGGTGGATCCTTAATAATGACCTAGTTACGAAATATGTCACATATCAATATTATTTAAACATTTTTATCTCATTTTTCTTTTTTCCGCAATGTTGTGGTAGAGAAATATGGGCCAATTTCTCTCAGCATATAATAAATGCGTTGATGCAAAAATACTTTAATATTCCATTATGACAAATAGTTGCTCTGTATTTAATTGTTCTTTTAATATGAATATATGTATATGACCTAATTAATAGGAATAAAAACCTTCGTGAACATTGCAAATAAAGTTAGTTTTTATTTGTTTCTGTTGGAGTTTTGAATTTACGCTCTTTTAAAACTCTTAAATGAAGAAATTCGAGGTCCTTCGTTTTCTGTTTTTGGTTGCCGTGCAGCGTTTTGTGTTTTGAGAACCGTTGGTGACTTCACGTTTTACAATGCCCGGCATCTTCTTGTAATAATTTATTTTGCGTATTTTAATAAAAATAACTGTGTTTATTATTAAAAATGCATCAGTTTCCTATGAAAATGTTGTGTCTAATATTAGCATATTATTTGAGTACCTATTTCATATTAGTTACACTTGATGCTTTCTTAACATTAAATTCTAATGTCAGAAATGAAAATTGTTCTTATATTGAGTGTAGATATATGAATATTGTAAATATATATAAATATCTTTAATTGTTGCGATTGATATTATATGAATAGTATTTGAAACATGAAATATTGCTCCATTTTTACTTATTTTCCTCTAATGTTCATTATCTATTGTCACATGTACAGGTAATCTATTCAGAACAAGAAAAACAAAATTATAATTTGTCTTCGTTTCGAATGCAGCGTTGTGTAATACGTTGTCGTTTTTATGGAAATATATTTTCATCGGCTTTTTATTTACGAATTAATGATTAATGAAAGTAGTTAGTGCGTTGAAAATACTTCTCAATTTATCCATTTCACGAGAAGCATGCATATATTAAGAAGTTCAAATAAGTTTTTATTAAGAACCACCGGGAGGCAAAGGATAATTGAAGCACAAGAAAAATAATTAAAAACTTATTATGTACATATAATGAGGTGTTTATATGACAAGAAATATATCTCTTTTTTCAATGCAAATACGGCATAAATTTACTATTTACGTGACAAGAACTAGGTGCATTTTCAATAAAGTTATATAGATTAGATAATTTGATTAATAGTTTTATTGTAAAATAGATTTATTAGCTACACATGCACTTATAAGTACCGAAATAAAAATAGTCCTAGTATAATTCTTCAATAGTTATACAATTGTTCGATATACTCTAATACCGATATTCCTATATGATTTCTTTATTTAACCAGTTAACTGTGGCGATCTTTTTGCAAAGCGCGCACCAATGTGTGGTGCGATAATCAAGCGATGACGAGTTAGCTCTCAAGAATTTATGAATCCGTCTCAAATCATTTAAACTTTTTATTTGTTTATTTTATTTCGTGTTGACCTCTAAACATTTTAAACATATTACAATTTACGAATATAATTTAGTTTTCGCCAAAATTACAATTTAAATATCAAATTATAACAAAATTTTAGGCATGACGGATATAGTCGTCATGACACAAAATTCTGCCACATCTCCATAACGGATATAGTCGTCAAACACACTTAACTGGTTAATGAGGATGTTATGATTTGAACTGGGGATTTTGCAGCTTGTAATTTTTACGGTTTGATTGGCTGAGTGGAAGGGCTAAGAAAAATGAAGGAGAGGGGAGAGAGCGTTTCGTCTGGGACTTGCTAGTGGACTTGCTAGTAAGACGTCCTAGCAAACCCTTGCCTTAGACGCAGGGATGTGTGGAAGGGATGGACAGGAAATATTTATATGAACAGGAAGGCTTACTGGATACTGACGAGGATGTCAAGTCTCGGTCTTATGCGCTGACTAGTGGCAATGAGCGTAGGAATGAAACCGCCAGACAATCAACTATTTAATTTCGAAACTAGCCATCAATATGTGTTAGTCATGTACTTTATAATGTAATTATCATGTACTTTAATGTAAGTTAATTAATTTTAATTATTAGTGCTTTCTAAATTATTAACTCATGCTTCCAAAATGAGTTCAGCCAAATGGATTCTACAAAGTGTCAAAATTTTATTAATAAATGATCTGGAAGAGTTATTTTTGGAAGATCGAAACATAGCATTTCTTCGTTTGCACAGGTGAAAAGAATTATAAGTTCAAATCACTTCAACCAATGTAACAGTGAATATCGGT